ACTTCTATCCCAGTTACATGTCACCTTGTCATGCCCAGCATTATTTTTTTTAAAAAAATAATTATTACATTTGGCCCAGCCATAGGTTTTTAATGCATCGTGTTATTGTTAATGTTTATTGCTTATTTTTGCTTATGAGGTTTTTTTTATTGTTTTGTGGGCTCGGCCTCATTTGAGCCGCACCGAATCCCTTGGGAGATGGTAGCAGGGTACAAATAAAGTTTTTTAAAAAAATTATTATTATTATTATTATTATTATTAAGTACGAGCAATTCTCTTCCAAAGGTACAAGCATAAATTCATAGAAAAATACAAGGCATCTTATAGAGTTCTGACAATTACTCAGATTTCCTGCTCTCTCCCCTGATTGGCTGGAAAGTGAGGCAGACTAGGATCCACACCCGAATTGCCAGGGGTTCCCCTGACATCACAGCCTGCACGAGGAGGTTCCCATGGTGGGAAAGAAGACAGCTGGTGGTTGGATAGTTTAAAGAGCCAGCCAGTTGCAGAGACGCTCCCTGAGAGGGTGCAACCCAGGAGGAAATGATGACTTGGGTATGTTGCGGTTCTTGTCCCCTTCCATCCTGTTTGCATATCCAATGATATACAACTTAAATATAGTCATCATGGCATGTTGGGTAAAAACGCCTGTGGGGTTTCCTTGCTACCTCCTGGCATCTCCTTACATAACCCAGAGCGAAAGGAAGCCACTGAACCTGTCGGCACATCCCTTGTTGTTGAGAATCCAGTCTATTAGCATAACTGTTCTTGTTCCAGACTCTGTAATGTCAGGTTCTCTCAGGCTGCTTTAGCATTCAGCATTCAGGAGGACTGTCTTCCTTTGAGCAAGTTCTTCTGAATATCAATTAGTCTCTCTCCGTCCGGGCCGAAAATCTTCACCGGGAAGCCATTTGGCTGTGATCGCTGAGTCCTTCATCTCTTCGTTACACCTTGGGTTTTGTCATTCCAACAAAATATGGATGCATTAATGTTCCTCTTCCTCTCAGCTGTTGCAGAAAAGCATGCCTCACATTGTGCTGTTCTTTGCATAGTGCCTGGACTGTCGTCAAAATATTGCCAGCAGATTTATTCCAGTGGACTATGGGTTGAACGTTATGGGGGCTTCTGGGGTTCTTGTCTCAGTGGTTTAGCGCCTGATGAGAAGTGCTGGAAGTGGAGACGGAGAAAGCAAAGTGCAGTATGAGCATTCCACCTGAATATCGCCTCTATTCCTTGCGATCCCATCACATGCAGCCTGGGCTCTGTTTCCATGCGCTTCGGAAACAGTCACACAGAGACCATCACATGATGAAATGGCACTTCTGGTGGGACTCTGTTGGACTCTGCATGGAAATGGAGTCCAGGCTGCATCTTCAGGAGTCTGATGTTACCCAACACTAAACTGAAAAAACAACAACGAGAGAAGATGGGAAAGGATGTGGGATGGTTGGCCATCCCAGAAGATGGACCTCAGTGGTAGGGAACGAAGAAAGATGGTCCCCTCTGTTTTCCCCTCGCTCATGGGATGATGTCCAAGGTCTTCTTTTCGTCTTCATTTACTGAAGCAAACAGGGTGTTGATTTTGTTTCACAAGGCACGTCTACAGTGACCACTTCAGCCAATGTGAGGTCAGATAGGCCCCGAAATGAAGTCAAGGCTGCATCTTCAAGAGTCTGATGTTACCCAATCTAAACTGAAAAAACAACAACGAGGGAAGATGGGAAAGGACGTAGGATGGTTGGCCATCCCAGAAGATGGACCTCAGTGGTAGGGAACGAAGAAAGATGGTCCCCTCTGCTTTCCCCTCGCTCATGGGATGATGCCCTAGGTCTTCTTTTCCTCTTAATCTGCTGAAGCAAACAGGGTGTTGATTTTGTTTCACAAGGCACATCTACACTGACCACTTTGGCCAATGTGGGGTCAGATAGGCCCTGAAATGGAGTCCAGGCTGCATCTTCAGGAATCTGATGTTACCCACCTCTAAACTGAAAAAACAGCAACGAGGGAAGATGGGAAAGGACGTAGGATGGTTGGCCATCCCAGAAGATGGACCTCAGTGGTAGGGAACGAAGAAAGATGGTCCCCTCCGCTTTCCCCTTGCTCATGGGATGATGCCCTAGGTCTTCTTTTCCTCTTAATCTGCTGACGCAAACAGGGTGTTGATTTTGTTTCACAAGGCATGTCTACACTGACCACTTAGGCCAGTGTGAGGTCAGATAGGCCCCGAAATGAAGTCAAGGCTGCTTCTTCAGGAATTTGATGTTATGCAACGCTAAACTGAAAAAACAACAATGAGGGAAGATGGGAAAGGACGTGGGGTGGATGACCATCCCAGAAGATGGACCTCAGTGGTAGGGAACGAAGAAAGATGGTCCCCTCCGCTTTCCCCTCGCTCATGGGATGATGCCCTAGGTCTTCTTTTCCTCTTCATTTACTGAAGCAAACAGGGTGTTGATTAGGCCAGTGTGTGGTCAGATAGGTCTCACAGTGGCCAAATGCCACAGAGGACTTGATCCAGCTTAACAGAGGGATACCCCAAATCCTGAGGAAGGATTGAGGTTGTTCCCTGAGTTCAGGACACTCAAGACAGCTGGGTCAGTTCCAAAGTGGAACCAACAGCAGCAGATGTCTTGATAGCCATCCCATGATAAACGCAAACGGCCCAGTCTGTGTATATGTGTTTTGTGTGTGTATATATGTTTCTATATGTGTGTGTGTATTTGTTTATATATGTTTCTGCATATATATGTGTGTGTGTGTGTGTGGTTTTGCGCATGCGCTGTAGCCTCTTTTTGCTTTTTTGGCCTTTTAAGTCCCTTCTGTTGTGCTTTCAGTGTTTTTATGAGTGATGGTCACTCGTTGGCCTGATACGTGTATTGTGTCCAAATTTGGTGTCAATTCGCCCAGTGGTTTTTGAGTTATGTCAATCTCACAAACATTACATGTGTGTGTGTGTGTGTGTGTATGTGTGTGTATGTGTGTGTGGTTTTGTGCATGCGCTGTAGTGTCTTTTTGCTTTTTGGCCTTTTAAGTCCTTTCTGTTGTTTTTTCAGTGTTTTTATGAGTGATGGTCACTCGTTGGCCTGAGAGGTGCCTTGTGTCCAAATTTGGTGTCAATTTGCCCAGTGGTTTTTGAGTTATGTCAATCTCACAAACATTACATTTTTATTTATATAGATAAGAAGTATGGTTCCGGCTGATTGTTTTGGCTTGGGTTTGTTTCGCCTTCCTGTTCCCAAGGGATAATTTGGGAGGCCCATGTAGAGTTGGCTGATTTGATACATTTTATAAAACAGTTTATACATTTCAGATTTATGAAATAGATACAGTATATAAATAGATAAAAGTTATAGCGAAAGTCATGAAGTATAGGTATAATTTATTAAAGAGTTAGATATGATAGCTGCTGCTGGTTTGGTCTCGAACTTCTGGTGCTTTGGGCCTGCACAAGTCTTGAAAGGGTCTTTATAAAATAATAATAATAATAATAATAATAATAATAATAATAATAATAATAATCCCACAGTCCTAGACGCTTGGGAAGTGTTCGACTTGTGATTTTATTATATGAAATCCAGCATATAGATCTCGTTTGCTGTGACATACTGTGCTTTTGTGTCAATAATAATAATAATAATAATAATAATAATAATAATAATAATGACGACTCTGGCACAAGCCAGTAAAGGTGGTCCTAGTGATGATCGGCACACTGGGTGCAGTGCCTAAAGACTATGGTCTGCACTTAAACACAATCGGCACTGACAAAATTACCATCTGTCAGCTGCAAAAGGCTACCATACTGGGAACTCCACACGTTATTTGCCGATACATCACACAGTCCTAGACACCTGGGAAGTGTCCAACGTGTGATCCAATACTGTGGACTCATCTTGTTGTGTTTCTAATAATAATAATAATAATAATAATAATAATAATAATTTATGTATATTCCGCTCTATTTCCCCGAAGGGACTCAGGGCAGATTTCAAACATAAAAGGCAAACATTCAGTGCCTGAATACAACAATACTGTGCTCTCACGCGCTGGGCCTTTAGCATTTGGCTTTTGAACAGGACGTGCTCTTTGTGCCCAGCGGGAAGCCGGGGTGCCTCGAGTGAGAGGCCCTAAGGATTTTCCTATACAGAGTCTTTAGAAGCTTGAAAGGTTTAACAAAGTCCTTTATTATTGCTTAGGTCTTCAACAAAACAATCAAATACTTCTTAGATCTTCAACAAATTAAACAAATACTTCAAGGCTTTGAATCAACTGGTGGCTTTCTTAATCTTGTCCACAAGGGAAAGGCAACTGGCTTCGTGAACTGTTTCTTTCTTTAAGAGGAAATCCCTTTTTAACCCCTCCTTGGGCAATCTACTTTCTAAACTTTGCTGGTGTGGGCTCTACTCCCGGCTCTAAACTGCTTCTTGGGTCCCGAGTAGACCTACCAGTCAAGGCTTTGTAGATTCTCCAGCTGGAGTCCTTTGGAACTGTTTTCCCCCAGATGCTGTGAGAAACGAAGCTTCTCTACAGGTGGAGCTAATCCACGTCCTGTAGCTAAGCTTTCCAATGCAAGACTGACCTAAAATGGCTCCTTCTCCTCCCAGAGCCCTGGGGAAAGGGGCGGAACCAAAACTTAACAATGATTGATGGGTCATAAGCCCTATAATTGCAAACCAAGGGAAGCCACCTTATTGCAAAATGCACTCAAAGAAAGAAAAGGAAGTTGGAGCTTTTGGTACAGCCGTACCAGCACAAATACATCCATAAAAAGGGGTAAAATCATATATTAATTTCTGAGCCTTTTGTAAACTATAAATCTTGGGGGGAGGGGGGGAGTCACATGCTTGACAACAGTTTTACAAGGCAAATGTTGGTAAGATATTAATCCAAATTAGGAAGAGAAGAGGTCAAACCTTATGGACTCTTTCTGAACAGTGAAATTAGAAGTTCTTTAGATTAATGTAGCTCTTCCTTCAACTTTTGTTTTTTCCCCTCCTTAGGTAATATAATTGGCTCCGGCATCTTTATTTCACCCAAAGGAGTCCTAGAGCACACCGGTTCCGTAGGCCTTGCACTGATCATTTGGGTGCTTGGAGGAGGCATTGCCGCACTCGGGTCATTATGCTACGCGGAGCTAGGTGTGACCATCCCGAAATCAGGAGGAGATTATTCCTACGTCTCTGAGGTTTTCGGTGAATTAGCTGGGTAAGTGGAGTTTCACTTTCACAATGTTTTGAATCTGTGTCATGCTCTTGTGATCTCATTCCTGCTTAGATCTGTGTGGTTACATGTTTTCCAAGCATGCAGCTTCTTCTCACCTGCATGGCACAGTGCGATGAGGAATGGCAGGAGATGCTGAGCGCATCATACTATAGCACACCACATTACAGCATGCCTTTGCTTGTGTGCATTAAGCTGGCTTTTGGAAGCCACACTGGGAGACAGAGTGCAGCCATGGCATGGTGGCCACATATCCAATGCAGGATCTTGGCCATTGTTTACTCGGGGAGCCAAGTCCATACGAGGAACATCAGGTGTCCCAGATACCACATGTTGCCAGAATCCTTGTGCACAAAGTATGCACTATTCTTTTTTTCCATATACCTCTCCTTGCAGTCCTCCTCCAAAAATAAATTCATATCTGATTAGATCTGATCACCATGCTCAATATATCCCATATGCATGGGAGTATTGGGATAACGATGCCAAAGGTTTTCTAGGGTAGATCCTCTCTCACTCAGACATTCGTTCCTAGATAGGAAGGGAGCTAGTCGCCTAGCCTGACGTAGGTGGAAAAACGCAGATCTGCTCACCGCAGAGACCTGGGCCTCCATTGTGAGCAGCAGAGGATCCAATCAGACACCAAGGCTTTTGACAGAAGGTGACGGACGTAGTGTCTCGCCATCCAGGGTAGGCAGCTGGGTCTCCCTCCCACCCGGACGGCCCAGCCAAAGGACCTCCGTCTTCACTGGATTCACCCTCAACCTGCTGGCACGCAACCATCCCGTCACGGCCTCAAGGCACTGAGGGAAAGAGAGTGAAATAATAAATATAATAATAACAATAATAAAGTAAAATAATAAATGTAATAATAATAAGAGTAAAATGATAGATGTAACAACAACAACAACAACAGAATTCAATTATAAATCATCTTGACTCAAGTATAAGCCGAGAGGGACTTTTTCAGCCTAAAAAAACTAGGCTTATACTTGAGTATATACAGTAACTGAAATGTTAGAATTTGGAGTTCTGTAGGACCTTTTCATTCAGTGCAGAATTCCCCCAGGACTACAGCACTGCTTCTAAAATAGGACGAGATGGAAGAGGTGTGGGAGTTGGTAACCGAATGGGAATCTTAACCATCGTTCTGTTTTCCTCTGGGAATATTGACAGGTGTCATCTCTTCTTTTTTTGATAGCAGTTGCTAAGATGTACAAGTGTTAAGCGAACACTAAGAGCGATTAGGCTTCTCTTTTATGACTCTATTTTCATTTAAAGTTTGGCCCATAAAATAGCCAGAAGTTAATTAACCTGCACATTTTAGAGCTGCTTAATGAAAGCAGCTCTAAAATGACCATCAAAGTCCAGTCTAACCATAGATGTGGTTGAATTTCTTTCTAAAATGAAGGTGAGAGAAGATTAGTAACCAAGGGAGTGCACAATAAGCAGATTTGGCTTGGAAAAAGCCCGTCCTCCCTCCCCACCTTTTGGGGTTGGAGTGGGGGGGCTTAGCCTACAAATCCCTCAGGATTAGGTTCTTGTGGGTTTTTTCGGGCTATAGAGCCATGTTCTAGAGGCATTTCTCCTGACGTTTCGCCTGCATCTATGGCAAGCATCTTCATAGATGCAGGCGAAACGTCAGGAGAAATGCCTCTACAACATGGCTCTATAGCCCGAAAAAACCCACAAGAACCTAGTGATTCCACCCTCAGGATTTATTTTCCTACACCTTCTGCATATTTCTACAACTTGAAAATAGGTCTGCCGGATGCTATTTGTTTGGCATTGAAATATTTACGCTAATGCCGATGTAAGGCAACAGGTTGGGAAGGCTGCCTATAAAGTTAAAGCTACATGGAAGTTTAGCAATGGGGCAATTCAGATTTCAAAGAAAGGACCATTACGGTAGGAGACCAGAGCACAGGGAAACGGGACATAGGACCTCATCAGACAGGCAAGGGAAAGATAGGGAAAGATAGGGGAAATGGGGGGAATCATCCTCCTTCATTGCCTACTGCCTTCCCCTGTCTTCTGGTATGGGCCTCCCACCCCACAGCATTTCCTGTCATTTCCCATGGTTTCCCCACTTCCATCTCGTGTTCTCCATTTAGGAGTCGGATAATACCTGACCCCCCCCCCCCCAAAAAAAGCACTGTGCTCTGTTGAATGCCGCTGAATCGGAGCCCCATGGAGCCCCACCAGAAGTTGCCTTGCGTCATGTGATGAACTCTATGAGACTGCCTTTTGGCAGTGTACAGAAATGGGGAGAAGAAGCAGAGAAGACTGTGTCTGATGAGGTGTCACGTTGCCAGGGCTCTGCTGTATTCAGGTAGAGATGAACCAAACACCCAGTTTATGTTAAACAATTTAATTAAAGCAGCACTTACTGTCTGGCTGTTTTAATAGTCCAAAACATAAAACATAAAGATAGCACTCAGCCACAGAATATAAAACAAAACTGACAGCAAACACTGTTGCAGTTTCAAGATAACACCGTAGTCAAAAGGTCCAGTCCAGTGGTCAAAAGCCAAGAGTTCAATGATCAAAGTCCAAGGATCAAGAGTCTATACCATAGTCAGAAGCCAGTCTAGAGATTAAAGGTTCCAGGGTTCCAAGAGTACAGGAGATAGGTCAGGATACCAAAAATCCACCAACCTGTCACGATGCCAGGGTTCTGCCATTATTTAGGCAGAGATGAATCAAACACTCAGTTTGTATCAAACAATTTATAAAAGAGCACTTACTTTCTGGCTGTTTTAGTAGTCCAAAACATAAAACATAGAGTACTCAGCCACAGAATAAACAAAATCTGATAGCAAAAGCTACACCATAGTCAAAAGGTCCAGTCCAGTGGTCAAACGCCGAGAATTCATTGGGCAAAGTCCAGGGATCAAGAGTCTATACCGTAGTCAAAAGCCAGTTCAGAGAGTCAAGGTTCTAGGGTTCCAAGAGTACAGGAGACAGGTCAGGATACCAAAAATCCACAAACTTGGGGGGAAACCAGCAGCATCTACCACCAAAATAAGACAAATACTTTTCTCTTGAAGATCAGCCCCAAGTTTAACTCCTTTTATCCAGAAACGCCCAGCTGCAATCTATCTCTTGCATGACTCCACCCTTGATTGCGTTCACCCATGAACTCTTACTTACAGATTACACAACCCTTTAGAACAAAGACTTACATTTAACCCTTCCATCACCAACTGCTAGGCCTACCACCAACAACCACCATCGACTGCAGAATATGATACGTGACATTAGGTCGACAAACAAACGGGGGTTCTCCAGTGCTATGTTCTTGAGGTGCCCTGTGACCAAGGACTTCATCCCACACAGTCTTCTCTCCATCTCTCTGCTTTGCCGAAACGGGGTCCTACAGAGGCCATCACATGATGCAAGGCCACTTCTGGTGGTTGCCAACGGGACTCCGTTGTGGCAGTGCAGGAAATAGAAGGAAGACTGTGTTTCCAGGAAGTGGGTTCTACCCGACTCCCAATTACAGAAGGTTGAAAGAAGCCTGATGGAAGTGGGGAAAGGACACGGGCTGGCTGCCATCACTGAAGGCAGAAAGGCACAGGACCTCCACGGTAGGGAATGAAAGAAGATGGTTCTCTCCGCTTTCTCCTGCTTTCCAAGCTTACGTGTGGTTGAGGTCCCAGGAACATTCTGCAGTGAGGGAACTCTTTGTCATCGCTGCATGGATCAGGGGCTGATGGGGTTCTTGCTTGTAGTGGTCTTGCTTGTAGATGGGTGAGGCCATCTCCCAGGAGCGCTAAGGTGGCCTCCTAGGATCCCACCGTTGCTCACTTCTGTAGTACACATTGAAAACAAGGGCTAACAGTCAATCATAACTTCACGGATTTTCACTTTTCGGGGGTGGTCCTGGAACGTAATACCTGCAATAAGTGAGGTATCTATCTATCTATCTATCTATCTATCTATCTATCTATCTATCTATCATCTATCTATCTATCGCAACAGGATGTTGTGTATGTATGTGTGTGTGTTTCTCAACCCTGAGAAGGAGAGAGACACTCATGTTTGTTGGTTGGACAATGGTCTCTGCAAAGGAGACAATTTAGGTTATTTGTGTCTGTATCCTTCCTTCCCTCCAGTGAACCCAAGGCCGAACATATGGGCCCCACTCCTCCTTTTGTCCTCACAAGAACATTTGGAGGTAGGTCAGGCTAAGATAGGGAGACCCAGTGAGTTGCATGGTTGGATGTAACACTTAAGACCTACCACGATCCCACGTTGGTTGCCAAATACCTTCTGGAACTCTGGAGTTTAATGGGAGATCAGTTCCTTTTTGTTTGTTTCTCTTGGTTGCAGGTTTTTACTGCTGTGGAGTGCAGTGCTTATCATGTACCCCACCAGCCTGGCTGTTATTGCACTGACTTTTTCCAACTATGTTCTACAGCCAGTGTTTCCTAACTGTATCCCACCCTACAAGGCCTCCAGAGTCCTCTCCATGGTGTGTTTATGTGAGTATTTGTCAACAAACCTCATCCTTGTTTGCATTTGACGGCTGACAAGGCCACCACCAGAGGTGAGCAAGCAAAGCATCCATCTTCAAAGGGTCTTGAGATAATTGTTCCCTCGACATCAGTGGTCCCCAACCTGTGGGTCGCCAGATGTTTTGGCCTTGAACTCCCAGAAATCCTAACAACTGGTAACTGGCTGGGATGTCTGGGAGTTGTAGGCCAAAACACCTGGGAGTTGTAGGCCAAAACACACAGGTTGAGAACTGTTGCGCTAAGAGTATTTTGGTCAAGTCCAATGCAGAAGACATAACAACATTGCACCCAGGCAAGTGGAAAAAAAACAGAAAAACTTTACTCTTATCAGCAGAGTTAAAACATAAACTTGCAATGTTACGAACAGTGCGACAAACTTACATAGTCTTTGTAAGCAATACAGAATAATCAAATCCAAATATGACAGCAATACAAATGGTTGAGCAAAATGCCTGAGCAAAGGCTCCTCAGAGCAAAAGCTGAACTGTATTCTAAAATCCATACAGTTATACCCCATCAGATATGGTCCAAACTTACCAGTTGACCTACATTAGCAGCTGCACATAATAATTAACACCATAAGGTTTTCTTTAACACACACAAACTCACACACACACACACACACACACACACACACACTTGATCCTGTTATGACTTACTGTAACAAGAACCACTGCTTTACAGTGCCTTATCAAAATGGGAGCGAAGCAAGGTTGGAAATGCCACTGTGGCTCCTAGGTCAGAATTTAGAGCAATGACACCATGTCAGTATCTGGACATCACACATTAACTTTATATGAGTGAGCCTCATATTATGAAGGGTGAGTTATTCTTTCCCTTCCTCTTCCTCCTCCTCCTCTTCCTCTTCCTCCTCCTCCTCCTCCTCCTCCTCCTCCTCCTCTTCCTCCTCCTCCTCTTCCTCCTCCTCCTCTTCCTCCTCTTCCTCCTCCTCCTCATTTCTGGTGAGGTGAAAGGAGACAGAGCACAGACGGCGTTCAGCTAGAATAGCTGCTAGAAACGCTGAGCTAATTGGAAGACACCCTAGCACCTCCTGCGTGGGAAATCCAGGGCTATAAATCAGAAGCAGGAGCAGTCAGCTTTCGCTGGTAACAACGATTCTGATGCTGATGTTTTCGCTCCAAATGGAACCTACTTCAAGTCTGCTTCTGGGGATTTAGTTCATTCCCGTTGGCTGATGTAAGATTGCTGTTTCTTTTGGGACTTTATAAGAGGCTTTAATTTTGTGTCTGTGTTAAGACTTCCTTGCTTTCGTTTGCATTTTTCAACTGCCTTTGATTATTCTTTGTGTTTGCTGAAGTAAAACATTTTTCTTTTATTTTCAACATTGTATTAAGGCTGTTTTTGAAAGGAAAATCAGGACAGGCAGACATCCTCAGAGGTTGTGAGCAGGGCCGTAGCCAGAAAAAATTTCGGGGAGGGTTGACAATTTCGGGGGGGGGGGGTTGAAAATTTCGGGGGGGGGTGTGGAAATTTTGGGGAGGGTTGAAAATTTCGTGGGAGGGGTGGTGAAACCTGCCTCCTAGCTCACGCTGAAGCAAAGAGCACAGCAGGGGGCAGAGCAGCCTTCAATAGCCTGCAGCTCCGCCCCTGTCAACCACCTCCACCAAGTCTGGCCTCCTTAATAAGAGTATTCAACACCCCCCCCCAACTTGGTTGCTTCGCTACATTGGCTATTGCTGCAAGTAATGACAGCGTGAATAAATTGTCAATATTTGCTTGAGATAGTGCTTACAGTTCTGGAGGGACTCTTAATTTTTTGCATCTCATAGACTTAGCCTGGGGATTTGGTTAACCAGTTAAAATTCATGAGTAAACCAGTTTTTTTAAAAAAAATCTGAAACATTTGGGGGGGGGTTGAACCCCTAAAACCACCCCCTCGCTACAGGCCTGGTTGTGAGGTCTGTTGGGAACTATGAAAATGGGGTTTATATATCTGTAGAATGTCCAGGGTGGGAGAAAGAACAGTTTCCAACAGATCTCCCAACGTCTGAGGATGCCTGTTATAGATGCAGGCAAAATGTCAGGAGAGAATGCTTCTGGAACATGGCCACACAGCCCAGAAAATTCCTAAATTTGACTGTGTAAATACAGTAGACTCTCAGTTAAGTGGAACTCAAGCAACTGGCAAAAAATACAAAGAAATAATATGTTGAGATTAATTTCACAGTTCAGCAGCAGATCAGTTGCACAACTTCAGCGCTTTCCAGTAGTTTCTTCCTGCACAGTATTTTCAGTCAACTGCTCCCACAAACTGCAGTCACTCTGGAACTCTTTACAGACACTTGAGCACATGCCTGGCCATTGTCAGTTTTACTATTGTTTTCCCCTCCAATCTAGATGACATTACAAACTTACCACAGCATACAGTTATATCTTGTCTTAGCAGACAGGTTCCTTTAATAAATTACACAGAGCCTTCGACAAACAGCATTACAGCACAAGGAGAGAGAATACACTGTACATGACTTCCTTATATACAATTCATTTACACATAGCAATCTCTGATTGGTTCCCAACTCATTGACTTAACTCAAACCCAGGATTACATCATTCACAATCACCTGGACCAGGCCAGAACACATTCCCCAATTGATATCCTATATACAGTTAATGCATGACTCAGCATTTCCAATAGAAGCCTATTAGCAGTGCATGACTCGGCTATATTACATTACAATACATTGTAAAACCTGACATAATGCTTTAAATAAAAATTAAAATATAATCACAACATTGCATTATAATAAACTACAGGAAAGGAGATTCCATCTGAACATGAGGAAGAACTTCCTGACTGTGAGAGCCGTTCAGCAGTGGAACTCTCTGCTCCGGAGTGTGGTGGAAGCTCCTTCTTTGGAAGCTTTTAAACAGAGGCTGGATGGCCATCTGTCAGGGGTGATTTGAATGCAATATTCCTGCTTCTTGGCAGAATGGGGTTGGAGTGGATGGCCTAGGAGGTCTCTTCCAACTCTTTGATTCTAGGATTCTATGATTCCATAAATGTATTGACATTAAGATACGTTTGTCTTTACTTGCGTTTAATTACTGTATTTCAATATCAAAACAATACAGAGTTTCTGGCAGGGTTTGGTATAAGATCCCTTTCACACTGTCCCTATATCCCAGGATCTGATCCCAGATTATCTTCTTATTCCAGATTATCTTGCACTGCAGACTCCTATAATCCAGTTTAAAGCAGATAATCTGGGATCAGATCCTGGGATATAGAGTAGTGCGGAAGTGGCCGAAGTTAGGCCCGTTTTAAATAGTAACTCTTAAGCAACCAGAAATTAGATTTATCCGATATCTGCTGTCTATCTACAGGTGCCGATTAATTGAGAGTCTACTGTATTATTTTGGAAGCAGCGTTTCTGGCTTGAAAAACTTAGTTTCTGCACAAAATCTGGTGTAATTCACTATATACACTCCAGTGCCTTCTCCAGTTTCCCAAGTGTTTTGAGTCCAGATTGGAAGCATTCTTAATTTGGAGTGAAGAATAGTAATAAATGTGAAAATGTACATTTTTTTCCCTCTTTTACATGGAATGATCTTTTCGGCTGTCCAGCTCTCTTGACCTGGGTGAACAGCACCAGCGTCCGATGGGCCACGCGCATCCAGGATATATTCACAGCGGGAAAACTCTTGGCCTTGGGTCTTATCATTACTGTGGGCTTCATACAGATCTTCAAAGGTACATACACTCAGAATGTTAGTGGGGTATTCCTTGTTTATTTAGATTTTTTTATTTTACCGTATATACTCGAATACAAGCCGAGGCACCTAATTTTACAGCTTCCCTACATAAATTTCCTACTTGACAGATGCAACTGTCTTTCGGGCTACAAAGGTCAACAGCAAGCTAGACAAATGGCCAGAAGTTCATTCCATTAAGCCCAAGAATAAGCCGAGGGTGGGAAATGCAGCAGCTACTGGTACATTTCAAAATAAAAATAAATACCCATAAAATTACATTAACTGAGGCAACAGGAGTGTGCAGGTACAATTGTACCAGGAGCTCCAATTTTGTTTGCTTTGCATTGAATGTTTGTTGTAGTCCTAAGTTTCAAGGACTCTGCAGATAGGTGGCTTCTTTTGGCTGCAATCATAGGGCAAGCCACCTGTCAATTATAGTTAGGTTCCCTGGTCCCGCCCTTTTTTGAGTTTTGTAGGGAATAGGAGCCATTTTGGGTTCAGTCCACGGAGAGAAGCCTTTCATGCAGGACATAATACCAAGAGCTCCTGTAGAAAGCTTCGTCTTCTACGGCTTTGGGGAGATATACAGCCCACAGCTTGGCCAGGATTATACAGCCCTACAGTTCCTTTGCTGAAGGACTTCAGTCAGCCATCACGAAACCTGAACTCTTTTCCCCCTGGAAGTCTACAAAGCTCTGCTTGGTAAGGGTCACTCGCGGAAGCCAGAAGCAGTTGGTACCGGTTGCAGGGGCTCCATGCCAACAGAGGCAAAGACAGACTGCCCAGATTAGAAGTTAAGGATTTCCCCATTAGTTAATGTACAGTTTATGAAGATAGTGCCTGTTCCCTGTGGACAAGATTGCGAGAGAGCCAATAGACTATTAAGAAAGCCTTAAAGTACCTGTTTGTTTTCAATAATAAAGAACTTTGTTGAACCTTTAAGCAATCTAAAGACTCTGTTTTAAGGAAATCCAAGGCCTTTAATCTGAGGCAGCCCCGGCGTCCCGTTGGGCACACGGAATGTATGTCCTGTCTACATTCTTATGCACAGGCCCAGCGTGCGACAGCACAAGGAGGTTCAATGCTTTTGAATGTTTACATAAAACTGTCCAACTGTGATTGAACCATTATACTAACCTTCTTCAATGCCAACGTGCTTACCAGGTTGTGGCACAGCTGGTTGGGAGTGAGCTGCGTTAAAATCACTACTGACCGAGAGGTCATGAGTTCAAAGCCAGCTCAGGTTGGAATGAACTTCTGGCCATTTGTCTAGCTTGCTGTTGACCTTTGCAGCCCGAAAGTCAGTTGCATCTGTCAAGTAGGAAATTTATGTAGGGAAGCTAATTTAACTAATTTACGATGCCATAAAACTCTCCAGCAGCATGTGAAAGAATGAGGAAGTACTCCATCGGTGTCACAAGTGGATGGTGAAGCGACAGCTCCCCCGGTGGCTGGAATTCAAAAAGCATACTCTCATGAAAGCTGGAAAGTTAAATAGCCTCTGTGTCTCTGTCTATATATGTTGTGTGTCTGGCATTGAACGTTTGCCATGTATATATTTATTGATTTACTTTATTTATATACCGCTTTTCTCAGCCCTCAGGCAACTCAAAGCATATGCATTGTGATCCGCGGGATGAGAAGGGCGGAATATAAATAATGTAAATAAATAAATAAATAAATAAATACTCATCCTTCCAATAATAAGAAAGAGAGTAAAATAATAAATATAATAATAAAAATAATAATAGAGTAAAATAATGGAAATGTAATAATGAAAATGGAGTAAAACAATACATGTAATAGAGTAAAATAATAACAGTAATAAAAATAATAATAGATAATGTAAATGTAATAATAAAAATAATAAATAGAGTAAAATAATAAATATAATAATAGAGTAGAATAATAACAGTAATAAAAATAATAATAGATAATGTAAATGTAATAATAACAATAATAAATAGAGTATAATAATAAATGTAATAAAATAATATAATAGAGCAGTGTTTCTCAACCTGGGGGTCGGGACCCCTGAGGGGGTCGCAAGGGGTGTCAGAGGGGTCGCCAAAGACTATCAGAAAACAGTATTTTCTGTTGGTCATGGGGCTTCTGTGTGGGAACTTTGGCCCAATTCCATCATTGGTGGGCTTCAGAATACTCTCTGGTTGTAGGTGAACTATAAATCCCAGGAATTACAACTCACAAATGTCAAAGTGTATTTCCCCCAAACTCTACCAGTGTTCACATTTGGGCATATTGAGGTTTCGTGCGAAGTTTGGTCCAGATCCATCATTGTTTGAGTCCACAGCGCTCTCCGGATATCGGTGAACTACAACTCCAAAACTCAAGGTCAATGCCCACCAAACCCTTTGAGTATTTTCTGATGGTCATGGGAGTTTAATTCAATCGTTGATGGAGTTCAGAATGCTGTGTGATTGTAGGTGAACTATAAATCTCAGCAACTACAACTCCCAAATAACAAAATCAATCCCCCTCTACCCCACCAGTATTCAAATTTGGGCATATTGGGTATTTGTGCCCAATTTGATCCAGTGAATGAAAATACATCCTGCATATCAAATATTTACATGACGATTCATAACAGGAGCAAAATGGCAGTTATGAAGTGGCAACGAAAATAATGTTATGGTTGGGGGTCACCACAAAAAATGAGGAACTGTGTTAAGGGGTCATGGTATTCGGAAGGTTGAGAAACACTGTAATAGAGTAAAATATTATAAAATTATTAAGAATAACAGAGTAAAATAATAACTGTAACAACAACAACAACTAAGTAAAATGATAAATAACTCTGACTCGAGTATAAGCCGGGAAAGCTTTTTCAGCCTGAAAAAGGGCTGAAAAACTCAGCTTATTTTTGAGTATATATGGTAATTGCAAGCAACTGGATATTTGGAAGTAATTATCTCCAAGTTTTGGATCTACCTGGAGGGAAAGAATTCTCAGTTTTTAAAAAACCAGTTTCCTTGTTGCTCACATCCTGAAAAGTGGTGCCCGAACAGGGTGCCATTGGGTGACCATGAGCTCAGATGGGAGGATCCGTGGTGTGGTTGATGGCACAGAACTATCGCTCCCAACATCCTTCCCTTTTGGCCATACTGTCCAAGGATCCTTGGAGTTGGAGTCGAACCACATCTGGATGGTTCCTCATCAGGAACGCAGAGCAAAGATGCCCTCCTCACTTACTTTGCATTACGTTTTGCTTGTAGGAAACTATGAAGAACTTCTGCCAAGCAATGCTTTCAATTTTTGGATGACCCCTTCAGTGGGGCATTTGGCATTAGCTTTCCTCCAAGGCTCCTTTGCATTCAGTGGATGGAACTTCCTAAATTATGTAACGGAAGAATTAGTTGATCCTCGCAGGCAAGTATTTGTTCCCAGCGCGACCTTGCTTGGGAGAGAGACCGGCCGCATTGTTGCGCAGCGCCCTCCGTTCCACATGTGCCTGGCATGCTGTCCCGAAGAATACCATCAATCTGCAAATACAAAAAAACCATTCTGGGAGGTGGACCAATTATGCAAAGGAGGCGCATTTGCATATTTACAAGTTGCATAGTTGGTTTGGTTGCACCTGGACTCTTTTTTTTGTGGGAAGGGTAATCTAATGGGGCCTCAGGTTGAGTCACAGGTAAGAGGAAAGGTGATCAAGATCGTTTGCCAGATCTCTCGCGGCTTGGCCCTTCGTCTCCACTTTGAAGGGAGATGGAACTAGAGATTCCCTAATGTATTGTCGAAGGCTTCCATGGCCAGAATCACTGGGTTGTTGTAGGTTTTTTCAGGCTATATGGCCATGGTCTAGAGGCATTCTCTCCTGACGTTTCGCCTGCATCTATGGCAAGCATCCTCAGAGGTAGTGAGGTCTGTTGGAAGTAGGAAAAATGGGTTTATATATCTGTGGAATGACCAGGGTGGGACAAAGGACTCTTGTCTGCTGGAGCTAGGTGTGAATGTTTCAACTGACCACCTTGATTAGCATACAATGGCCTGACAGTGCCTGGAGCAAACTTTTGTTGAGAGGTGATTAGATGTCCTTGTTTGTTTCCTCTCTGTTGTTGTGCTGTTGTAATTTTAGAGTTTTTTAATACTGGTAGCCGGATTTTGTGGACAAGTCTATATAAGGACCACCAAACGCAGCAGCAGCAATGCCCAAACACGAATCAAGGAACATGAAAGGCACTGCAGACTACTTCAACCAGAGAAGTCAGCCATAGCAGAGCACTCGAGGAACCAATCTGGACACAGCATAGTATTTGAGAACACAGAAGTGCTAGACAACTCTCACAACCACCATGTCAGGCGACACAGAGAAGCCATTGAAATACACAAACATGTGGGCAATTTCAACAGAAAGGAGGAAAGCATGAAAATGAACACAATCTGGCTACCAGTATTAAAAAAACTCTAAAATTACAACAGCAAAACAACGGAGAGGAAACAAACAAGGACATCTAATCACCTCTCAACAAAAGTTTGCTCTAGGCACTCTCAAGCCATTATATGCTAATCAAGGTGGTCAGTTGAAACATTCCACCTAGCCCCAGCAGACAAGAGTCCTTTGTCCCACCCTGGTCATTCCACAGACATATAAACCCTTTTTCCTAGTTCCAACAGACCTCACTACCTCTGAGGATGCTTGCCATAGATGCAGGCAAAACGTCAGGAGAGAATGCCTCTAGACCATGGCCATATAGCCCGAAAAAAACTTACAACAACCCAATGATTCCAGCCATGAAAGCCTTCGACAATACATTCATACTCATTTTGTCACATGCTGTCTTGCCATTACATTCTCTCCATAAATTGAAATGATTTTGCGATGAATCGTAGTGGCATTCATACCCTTAGCATTTAGGTAGTGTGTTACAGCATGAACTTCACACTTGCCGGGAAATGGAATGAGGACGTTCATCTCTAACCTTCACCACAATGCCAGTCGATGAGCTACTGACAACTGGCACTGCTCGTTCGCATCTGCTGTCTTCCCGCTACATGGCAGTGATACCAACTTCCCCTGTGAAAATTCCTCGCAAGAGCTATGGGCCTTGTAAACTTACTTTCCGGAAAACTCTTGCAATGCCGAATGTCAGCAGATATAGCTTCCCCTCTAACCAACACCTGCTGAAAATCCCATCTGCACCACTATTAAAAAATACAGGATGTCCCTCTTTTCCCCATGTGTTCCTATGGTCCCATCCGACTCCACCCCCTGGCAAAGTGCATAGTAACCTAGTTCAGTAGGTGATTTCTTTTGGTGGGCGCCTGAGACAGAAACCTTTGCAGGGTCCCACAGCTTACAGTATATTCTGGCGTATAAGACTACTTTTTAACCCAAGAAAATATTCTCAAAAGTCAGGGGTCGTCTTATACGCAGGAATAGCCTTATATGTCGAAACGGAAACTTCCAATCTGGATTGGAGAATATGTGGTTGAAACTTCCAATCCAGATTGGAGAATCTGTGGTTGCTGCTTATTGTGGGGGGGGGGGGGGGCTCAAAAATGGCAGTGGCCACGTCCCTACCATATGCAGTGACTGTATGAAAGCATTAAGGGCAACGCTGTACAAGTACAGTAGAAAAAAATCCATTCATCAGGATTCATGGACTTAATGTGGTCCCGATGGTGAGGTGAAGGGGTGCCTCACTGGGAAGGTGTAAGTGAAGGGTGAGGGGTAGTCTTATACGGCGGGTATATCCCAAACTCTATATTTTAACTGGAAAAGTTGGGGGTCGTCTCATACGCCGAGTCATCTTATATGCCGGAATATACGGGTAAATATAATGAATTAAAACATTAATTCCTTTTCACAACACCCAAACTCTGCAGCCTCACTATGTTAGACTGTAGGATGAAAACAGCAATATTAAATAACCACTCACAAGCCGGTTTTGCTTTGAAATTGATATATTGCTTGTATCTCTTCAGCAAAGAAAGACACTGCTGACTTTTCCCCACCACCACTTCCTTTTATACACCTTTCCTGCCCATCTCCCCCTCTTCTTGGTTTCCTTATTAGAAACTGTTGTTGCTTCACAAGTTCCATAATATGGTTTCCAGCGCCCTCTGCTGGCTTCAGAATGTCACAGAGAGAATTGATTCAGTCAAGATAATTCAGACAGGATGTCACGGAGGGAATTTGTGATGTCTTCATGCCATCAGAAATTGACTCCTGACACACTAGGTATAATGCCAGGGCTGGCCTCGTTGCCAGAAGCAGCATGGGATTTCAAGTGACGTTACAGAGAAAGGACAAGAGACTGCCAGTCCAAGACCCCTTCCACATAGCTATATAAAATCCACATTGAACTGGATTATATGGCGGTGTGGACTCAGATAGCTCAGTTCAAAGCAGATATTGTGGATTATCTGCCTTGATAATCTGAGTTATATAGCTGTGTGGAAGAGCCTAAGCCTAATGTCATTGCACTGACGTTGTCCGATCTGCACAGAAGCAGAGACCGTGAGGATCTGCCTTGTTTGTGGCATGTTTGTGATTCCGTGCTTGTCAATGCCTCCTGCTTGTTATTGTTTCTTTTCAATTAGGAATCTACCTCGTGCCATATTCATATCCATCCCATTGGTGACCTTTGTGTACACGTTCACCAATATTGCATATTTCACTGCCATGTCACCCCAAGAACTCTTGTCTTCTAATGCTGTTGCGGTAGTAAGTAAACTATTCCCTGGACATTTACAGTTTTTGTTATCGTCATCCATGTTCTGTGATTTGCATTGTTGTTATTGCTATTTTTATTACGTTATTATCCCTATTATGTTACTTTTATCACCACTATTATTATTGTTGTTATTATTATTGATGCAACTACACTTGTCATTGTCATCAGCTCATATATCTTTTGTTGCTTTAGACGTTTGGCGAAAAGTTGCTGGGATATTTTTCCTGGATTATGCCCGTCTCTGTGGCTCTGTCGACATTTGGAGGAATAAATGGATATCTTTTTACCTCATCAAGGTTAGACAAAGTACGATTTCCCTTTCCCCAAATCTTATTTCAGGGCACAGATAATTCCTTTTGTTTTCTTTACTAACTTATGTATTTATCCGTTGGGTTTTACACAGCACAAGATGTCACGGTGTGCCATTTCCAATATTGGGTTATTTGAAAAAGTACATTAATTTTATTTTACAACATGCATAAGCACAGTTCAGAGTGCTGGCTTTAGCCTATAAAGCTCAAATTGGTTCTGGCCTAGCATATCTGTCCGAATGTACTGTGCTCCCTCACTTATCGCAGGTGTTACGTTCCAGGAACATCTGCGAATAGTGAAAATCCGCAAAATAGGGACGCTATATTTATTGTAATATTAATATGTGGTGGGGATTCCGCATCTTTGGAAGAGGAAGGGGAGCAGGGAAGTGCACAGGAATTGGAGGAAGAAGAAGAATCAGATGGTGAGGGTTTGGAAGTGCCCACATGTCTAGAGAAAAGAAAGGGGACAGAGCACAGACGGCATTCAGCCAGAATAGCTGCTAAAAACGCTGAGCTAATTGGGAGACTCCCTAGCACCTTCTGCCTGAGGAATTCAGGGCTATAAATCAGAAGCAGGAGCAGTCAGTTTTCGCTGGTAACAACAACTCTGATGCCGATGTTTTCACTCCAATTGAATCTGCTTTGTGTCTGCTGCTAAGGACTTACTGATCATTACCCGTTGTCTGATGGAAGACTGCTATTTCTTTTGGAACTTTGTTAGAGACTTTAATTTGTGTCTACATTAAGATTTCCTTGCTTTCTTTTGCATTTTTCAACTGCATTTGCTTATCCTTTCTGTTTGATGAAGAAAAGCATTTTTCGTTTACTTTCAACATTGTATTAGGGCTGTTTTTGAAGGGCAACTCAGGACAATACGTATACATTATTTTATTTATACATTATTTTAGTAGTTACAGTATACACTATTTCCCCTTGTGTTTTCGGTCTTCTCACTCACTCTTCTCACTCTTCTCACTCTCTCCATCTTTTACTCCATCCACTCCGTCGTATCTTGCTTCCGCGTTGTTCCTCATAATCCTTGGTGCTTTTGGCCGGTTCTTCGTTCACATCCCGCCACTGCCTTCTTCTTCCAACCTTCTCTTTCTCATTTCTTCCGTCTCGCTATGGTGTTCTTCTCGCCTTCTGCCTTTTTGTCCCTTCCTCTGAATCCGGCCTCCTCTATCTCTCTCCTTCCTGTCCTCCAACCAGCTCATTGGTATCTCTTATACTGAGTCCTCCAGTCTCCTCTCTTGCTCTTTGTGTTTCGGAGCCTGAATCCTCCTCCGTCGCTTTTCTCCTTCCGTCTCTTAGGATTTTCCTTTGTTTAAATAAATGCTCCACATTGACTAAACAACTCTCCCTCAAGGTCAGTCCTTTCCTTCTCAAAAATAGCCATAAAATAGCCACCTGCCTCCCGCGAAACAGCAAGTCAGCGTAAAGCGAACCGCGAAGTAGTGGGGAACACTGTATCTCCCTCTATGAACCACCGCGGAGTTTAAGATCACCTGGGGAGGTCCTGCTCTTGGTCCTGCCTCCCTTGCAGGTGCAATTGGCAGAGTCAAGAGACTGGGCCTTCTCAGTGGTGGCCCCCCAGCTGTGGAACTCCCTCCCCAGTGATGTTAGATCAGGCCCCTCCCTCCTGACCTTCTGCAAGAGTGTGAAAATGTGGCTTTGTGACCAAGCCTTTAAAGAACTTGTGAAATACACTAGGAACAATGTGCAATGATTATTGGAACGGCCCAGATTATACTCTTGGATTATATGTTTAACTCTTAATGTATTGTTTTTAAATGTTTTAATTGTTGTAATGCACTTTCTAATTTTATTTTAATATTTATTTAAGTGTACATTGCGTTTTAAGGCATTGAATCGTTACCTGTATGTTAAGCTGCCTTGAGTCCCCACTGGGGTGAGAAAGAAAGGCGGGGGAGAAATGTCGGAAACAAATAAATGAACAAATAAGGTTGTTGGTGAACTACAACTCACATCATGGTGGTGCAGTGGGTTAAACACCTGTGCCGGCAGGACTGAAGACTGACAGGTCGCAGGTTCAAATCCAGGGAGAGACGGATGAGCTCCCTCTATCAGCTCCAGCTCCTTATACGGGGACATGAGAGAAGCCTCCCACAAGGATGATAAAAACATCAAAAATCATCTGGGCGTCCCCTGGGCAACGTCCTTGCAGACGGCCAATTCTCTCACACCAGAAGCGACTTGCAGTTTCTCAAGTCGCTCCTCACACGACAAAAAAAACAAAAAACCTCATATCATGCCATGTTAACACCCTGAAACTCTTAAAGCTGTTTTTGAACTGCTTAGGTAAACTGTGAGCAGGGCTGATGGTCGGCCGCTCATGCAGACCCGGGGCTTTGAACTTGCAACCTTTTGGTTGATAGATCTTATAGTTGCTGATGATTTACCAGCTGTTCTAAACCTAGTTGTTACATCGGGTGGCGCAATGGGTTAAACCCTTGTGCTGGCAGGTCTGAAGACCGACAGGTTCGAATCCGGGGAGAGCGCGGATGAGCTCCCTGTGTCAGCTCCAGCTCCCCATACGGGAACATGAGAGAAGCCTCTGACAAGGATGGGAAAACATCAAAACATCTGGGTGTCCCCTGGGTAACGTCCTTGCAACTGACCAATTCTCTCACACCAGAAGCGACTTGCAGTTTCTCAAGTCGCTCCTGACACGAAAAGCAAGTTGTTACATCTGGATGAGACTGAGGAGGTTGCTGTTCCATGATGGGCCCAGCCAAACCCTCATCCACGCTATCCATGACAAAATAACCCAACTTTTTCTTCTTCTTTGTACAATATCCTGTCCAGGAGAGAAGGACGAATAGTTGACTTTCCAGCCGGCCATGCTGTCAGCATTCAGTGTTTTTGTTCTTCTTTTCAGGTTGTGTTTTTCCGGAGCACGAGAAGGCCATTTACCCAGTTTGCTGTCGATGATTCATGTCAGGCACTGCACCCCAATTCCAGCCCTCCTCGTCTGTGTAGGTCTTGTTTACAATGGTATTGCCATGATATGGAAGCAGAATGCAGGGAAAGGGGAGCTAGTTTTTAATTGTGGAAACAATAGAATCTATCTTCTTAGCTTCCTATCCATCTGTATTGATTTATTTAAGATATTGTTACTCCACCTTTCTCTCTGAGCAGACCCAAGGCAGCTTACAACATATAAACGTACAACAAAGAAGCTAAAAACATAGTTGAAATCAGACATTCGATATAACCCCATCACTACTTGATTTGCAACTAATCAATGCATTAAAAACAACATAGAAGATGGGCAGTATTCAAAAATAAAAACACACCAGCATATTCTTAGTGGTTGAATCCAGTGTTGAAAATTGCATTAACGTAAACATTAACGTAACGTAAATGATTCAGGGCTAAGTCTGGATTTTATACTTCCTGGCCTCAAGTCATGAACTGAACCCAATTGTACTCATGTACTAGACATCGAAGAATTTAAATCTTGATATTGAGCTTGATATCGAAAAGCTTTATGGATTACCAAGATCAGTGGTTCTCAACATCTGTGGGTCCCCAGATGTTTTGGCCTTCAACTCCCAGAAATCCTAACAGCTGGTAAACTGGCTGGGATTTTTGGGAGTTATAGGCCAAAACACCTGGGGACCCTCAGGTTGAGAACCACTGATCTAGATCTATATTGTGACCTTAAGATGCCCTCAAGGACAATCTGGATCTATATAGTGACCTTAGGAGGCCCTCAAGGACCGTCTGGATTTATATTGTGACCTTAAGAGGCCCTCAAGGACCATCTGGATTTATATTATGACCTTAGGAGGCCCTCAAGGACCATCTGGATCTATATTGTGACCTTAGGAGGCCCTCAAGAACCATCTAGATCTATATAGCTACCTTAGGAGGCCCTCAAGGACTATCTAGATTTATATAGTGACCTTAGTGATCATCTAGAACAGTGGTTCTCAACCTGTGGGTCCCTCCCCAGATGTTTTGACCTTCAACTCCCAGAAATCCTAACAGCTAGTAAACTGGCTGGGATTTCTGGGAGTTGTAGGCCAAAACACCTGGGGACCCTCAGGTTGAGAACCACTGATCTAGATCTATATAGTGACCTTAGGAGGCCCTCAACGAACATCTAGAACAATGGTTCTAAACCTGTGGTTCCCTCCCCAGATGTTTTGGCCTTCAACTCCCAGAAATCCTAACAGCTGGTAAACTGGCTGGGATTTCTGGGAGTTGTAGGCCGAAATACATAGGGAACCACAAGTTGAGAACCTCTGATCTATGCTATTGTGCCATCACCACTTAAGCAGGGAGCTTTAAAACAGAAGGTCTGCAAATATCTAGGTCAGTGGCTCTGAACCTGAGGGTCCCCAGATGTTTTGGCCTTCAACTCCCAGAAATCCTAACAGCTGGTAAACTGGCTGGGATTTCTGGGAGTTGTAGGCCAAAACACTGGGAACCCACAGGTTGAGAACCACTGATCTAGATCTATATAGTGACTTTAGGAGGCCCTCAAGGACTATCTAGATCTATATAGTGACATTAGGAGGCCCTCAACGACCATCTAGAACAGTGGTTCTCAACGTGTGGGTTCCTCCCCAGATGTTTTGGCCTTCAACTCCCAGAAATCCTAACAGCTGGTAAACTGGCTGGGATTTCTGGGAATTGTAGGACAAAACACCTGGGGACCCTCAGGTTGAAAACCACTGATCTATGCTGATGATCGTGCCATCACCACTTAAGCAGGGAACTTTGAAACAGAAACCCTGCAAAGATCTAGGGCAGTGATTCTCAACCTATGTGTCCCCAGATGTTTTGGCCTTCAACTCCCAGAAATCCTAACAGCTGGTTAGGATTTCTGGGAATTGTAGGCCAAAACACCTGGGGAGGGACCCACAGGTTGAAAACTACTGATCTAGATCTATACAGTGACCTTAGGAGGCCCTCAACAACCATCTAGAACAATGGTTCACAACCTGTGGGTTCCTCCACAGATGTTTTGGCCTTCAACTCCCAGAAATCTTAACAGCTGGTAAACTGTCTGGGATTTCTGGTTGTAGGCCAAAACACCTGGGGAGGGACCCACAGGTTGAGAACCACTGACCTAGGGAAATGTGATAAATAATGGAGATTGGGGAAGAAAGCAATGGTTGGTTATGTTTTGCTATCTTTTTATAAGAAAATAAAATCATCCAGAAACGATTCAATTTAAACAAATGTCTGCTCCTTTCCCCCCCTCCTAGTGTATGGCTACTGTCGTCATTATGCTGGTTGGAGACACCTATACGTTAATCAATTACGTGTCCTTCATTAACTACCTCTGCTACGGAGTGACAATCATAGGCTTGATTGTTCTACGATGGAAGAAACCCAAGATCTTCCGACCTATCAAGGTGAAAAATATTGGGGCTTTCTGAATGACATTTCCATGGCTGTTGACTAATGAACAGGGACAAACCCATCCTGTCATAGAATCCTAGAGTTGGAAGAGACCTGGTGGGCCATCCAGTCCAACCCCATTCTGCTCAGAAGTAGGAAAATCCCTTCCGAAGCACCCCAGACAGATGGCCATCCAGCCTCTGCTTCAAAGCCTTCACAGAAGGAGCCTCCACCACACTCTGGGGCAGAAAGTTCCACTGGTGAACAGCTCTCACAGTCAGGAAGTTCTTCCTCATGTTCAGGTGGAATCTCCTCTCTTGTAGTTTGAAGCCATTCCTCCCTTGCGTCCTAGTCTCCAGGGAAGCAGAAAGGAAGCTTGCTCCCTCCTCCCTATGACTTCCTCTCACATATTTATGCATGGCTATCATGTCTCCTCTCAGTCTTCTCTTCTTCAGGCTAAACATGCCCAGCTCTTTAAGCCGCTCCTCATAGGGCTTGCTCTCAAGACCCAGACATTTTACCTATATATTTTTAAATAAGTCGTGTGTTTAATTCTATTTAAATGTTTGCGTGATTCTGGTTTTTAATTTACATACGGTACAGTTTATAGTGTTGGGCGCCTTGAGTCTCCCTTGGGAGAGAGGAGGCAGGATATACATCCGAATGCCATCAGATGCTCCTTTGGGAGAAAGGGCGCCAGGACAGAAAGAATGGGCTTCTGTACACTTCCAATGTTTTCTCTCCTTTTAGGTTAATCTTCTGGTCCCAATCACTTACCTGATATTTTGGGCCTTTCTCTTGATCTTCAGTTTCTATTCTGAGCCAGTAGTCTGTGGAATTGGACTGATTATCATATTAACTGGAGTGCCAGTGTTTTTCATTGGAGTGTACTGGAAAAATAAACCAAAGTGTGTCCACCGGATAGCAGGTAAGAAAGAACCCCCCGGCATATTCCGTATGAGAAGGGATCCTACGCAGCTTTGCCTATGGAACACATTCACTTATTTTATTTATTTATTTATTTATTTATTTACTTATTTATTTTGACTTGTATACCGCCACTCCCAATTTGGCTTGGAGCGGTTTACAGCAGTAGATTAAAACAATACAATTAACTTTAAAATACAATAAAAACAAGAACAGACATAGTCCCGAGTTAGTCACCCATCAAAAGCTTGTCAAAAGAGAAAGGTTTTACAGGCTTTCCGAAAAGCAAGTAAGTCTCGGATAGATCGGGTTTCAACTGGCAAGGCATTCCATAAATAAGGGGCCACAATCGAGAAGGCTCTCTGCCTAGTCGAGGACAGATGATAAGTCCGGATGTTGGGGACTTCAAGCAAATTTTGGTCTTCGGACCTAAGTAATCTCTGGGGTTGGTAGGGGGAGAAGCAGGCCCTCAGGTACTTAGCCATAGGCATTGTCATAATAGGTATCAGTGAAATGGCAGGGAGAAGGTTTCAGGAAAAGGAACAAAGAGGGGTCCGGAGGTCTCAAAAGCACGGATTTATTTCCAGCTGGGGCCCTGGATTGGACTTTCACCCAAAAGCAAACCAGAGCACTGAAATAGGTGCGGACTGTGGCTTTTATAGATTCCAAATGCAAGCAAACAAAGAACGTGTGTCTACATACATTGACATCATTCACTGCGTCATTTTCGCATCAAATTCTGTCTTCCAACATGCAAAAAGCATGTCTCTGTGTATTCCTAGGAGCAGCTTGCATCCATCAAGGGCCTGCTTTTGACCTCTCAGGAGGCTTCTTACTTTTTACTTAGTGCCAGTCTCTTTCTCTCTCTGGAATGTATAGATGACAAGTCACCCTCTTCTCCCCTCTCAACATTCCTTCTCTGTCCTACTGGCTTTCTTGCACAGAGAGAACTTGATTTTTCTATATGTTTCAGTGCTTGTAAAGTACACACAATTTATACATAAATAAATATCTGTTTTTTCCAATATCTCCTCATCATCGGAATCAACATAAAATTCATCCATATACTTTTGCATCAAGAATAGAAGTGAGATTTGTATTGATGATGGCTTTACACTTGGAACGCATGGCTATTTCATACTATCGAATTATAGCACTACGATTGTATTTTACCACGAGTCTCCTTTGGGGAGGGAAAAAGCGGGGATAAATAAACATGATGATAATGATGATGATGATGATGCTACTATTTAGAAATCTCAAGCCAGAGAGAGCTCTAGTGTCCCACCAAACTACAAAGCCTTAGTTTTGGTATTTTTAAAATACCAAATAACTTACCCTTCATGGCACAGCGGGTTAAACTGCTGAGCTGCTGAACTTGCTGATCAAAAGGTTGGCGGTTTGAATCCAGAGAGCAAGGTGAGCTCTCTCTGTTAGCCCCAGCTTCTGCCAACCTAGCAGGTTGAAAACATGCAAATGTGAGTAGTAGTAGTAGTAGTAGTAGAAGAAGAAGAAGAACTTTATTTTTCTACCCCGCCTCCATCTCCCCGAGGGGACTCAGGGTGGCTTACATGGGGCCAAGCCCAAGGCAACATACAATTAAAAACAGAACAATCACATATTAAAATAGCATAAAAACAGCATAAACAATAATAAACAAACATCAAAAGCAACAACATACTCATTTTTGGGGAGGGGGCCAATATGTGAAACGAGTTAAAGGATAGGCTGGTCAATAAGGTGGATCGCGCGTATAGTAGCATAGGAACAGAGCAATTAAACAGGATCATTTCAGCTTAACTTAAAAGTGTAGTAATCAAATATAGGAACTGAATTCAGGTCATGGTTAGAGACCATCTGTCAAAGGAGTCGTCAGTTGAATGCACAACGAAACATCCACTTCAGATCAACAGGTACCGCTTCTGCGGGAGGGTAACGGTGCTCCATGTAGTCATGCTGGCCACATGACCGTGGAGGTGTCTATGGACAATGCAGGCTCTTTGGCTTAGAAATGAAGATAAGCACCACCCCTCCGAGTTGGACACGACTTAATGTCAGGGGAAACCTTTACTTTTACTAATAACTTATAGTTTAGCGTGCACTTTCTCTATTAAAATGCATGTTCCAGAAGCATTCTCTCCTCACGTTTCGCCTTGCATCTGTGGCAGGCATCCTCAGAGATTGTGAGGTCTGTTGGAAACTAGGAAAATTGGGCCACAGATGCAGGTAAAACATCAGGAGAGAATGCTTCTAGAACATGACCGTACAGCTTGGAAAACCTACACCAACCCAGTGATTCTGGCTGTGAAAGCCTTTGAGAATATAATATCAACCCTACTTGGGGGTGATGGTAACCTCAGTCAAAAACACACAGAGGACATACCACTAAACTATGAAGGGCTCACCACAGATGCCAAGAGTGGAATGTGGGACTGTTAGGGACCCCAATTCAGGGTCCCTGCATTGGGTCCGGTCACAGGAGGCAAAAAGGCAAACACCCAGTCTCAGGAGAAGTACAAAAGCAAGGTTTATTTTCATCATGATCATGCAGAGACGGCCAGCCATACCAAACACGCAGGTCTTGGTACTTTCAAGAGGCTGTCGCGCCCAGTGTCTTTCAAACTCATTATATACAGAAGATTCACAATACTTCAGAAAAAGTTATGCAATTACAAGCTGCCACATAGGCTCAATTCCTTATTTAGCACATTGACTAACTGACTTCTTGTAAATCGCATTATTTCTTGACAATGGAAAGTTCAAGATCCAAATAGCTCCCCCGCCCCCCAATATGTGGCAATAGACACTTTGTCAGCTTTTTAGCCTTCTGCCAGAACTGTCTTGTGAAATTTGTTGATTGCACATGTTTCTTAGGTGCTAACCACAAATGTTCCAGACAAGACAGACCTAGGGCTGGGCGGTTTCGTTTCGTTAATTCGTAATTCGTTAAAAATTCGTTATTTTTTTATAACGAAGCGATAACGAACCATTCTGGAGCAACTTAAAAATGAAACGAATTTTTAAATTCGTTTCGTAAATGCTTCGGATTCGTTATGTATTCGTTTCGTTATCGGTTTGAGGTCGTTTCGTTATTATTTCCGCATGTCTGGGGCAAGTTTTATAGTTGTTTTTTGTTTAATTAGTGAAAAAAATTATAATATCACACCAACAGTCAACAACAGAGGGAGAGGGAAGCTTCAGAAGTTCCCCCTGTCCCATTTGGAGGTTTTTTAGCGTATTTCGCGGTCGCGTCCGCCATTAACGAATCGATTCGTTATTGTTTCGAAATGTTATTGTTTCGTAATTTTTTTTAACATTTACGAAATTTCGTAAATATCGAACTTTTTAAAAGAAAAATTTCGGAATTCTTTTTAAAATCAAAACGCAAAACCCCCCAAAAAACGAATCGATTTTAGAAACAAATTTTTCTGTTGTTACCCAGGCCTAGACAGACCCTTAGTGGAAGCTCGTTTCTAAATACAGAGGGGGTACATGTTTAACTTTGATTCCTCTAGTTTCATGATTATTGCCCTATCAGGACCTTCTTAACTCCAAGCACAATATCCAACTCTTGAACCATATTTCATCCCTAATTGATAATTTCCATGTTGTTGTTACACTGACCTCCTCCTCTTCCTCTTCCTCTTCTTCTTTTCAGAATCCTTGACACATTGGGGCCAGAAGGTGTGTTTTGTGGTGTATCCTCAGGGCGGATCGCTAGAAGAGGACGATCTACCTTTCCCGCATCCGTCCCTCCCAGGAAGTGAAAAGTCCTTGAAGAAATAATTATCTATTTTACACATGCAAAGTAGATTGTGTTGTTTACATGATGATTTTTTTTGGAAAAAAAATAATGAAAAAAATCTTGAAAATGTTTTTTTTTTTTAGAAATTCAATAGTAAAAACATACAAAATGAAATGCACCATTTTGTCAATTCTCGTGGACAGCTCACAGCACTTAACTCTTTCTCCTAAAAAGAAGAAGGAGAAGGAGAAAAAGAGTAAAATACAATAAAATGAGGTGGTTGCTTTGTTTCTGGTGGAGTGGGCTGGCATTCCGAATTGCATTCTGCATCCCAAACAGAATCCCAGAAATCTCAATTAAATGCAGCAATTTGTTTATGTATTTATTTATTTACTTCATTTATACCGGGGGCCTTTCTTCCCTTCAGGGGACTCAAGGCAGCTTACAACTCCGGTACAATTCCAGTAAAATCAACGTTAAAAACAATAACATACACCCTCCCTTAAAATGGTTAATAATTAGTCAATAAACACATTAAAACAGTAAACAGGTTAAAACATAGAATCATAGACTCCTAGAGTTGGAAGAGACCTCATGGGCCATCTAGTCCAACCCCATTCTGCCAAGAAGCAGGAAAATAGGTTGCATCTGGGTGTTATGGATTTAAGGAGGTAACCTCTTTGGGGAGAAAAGTCTTCTGTCACGATGGTAGGGCTCTGCCAGTATTCAGACAGAGGGGAATCAAACACACACCCAGTTTGTTTCAAACAGTTTGATTAAAACAGCCAGAAAGTAAGTGCGGCTTTAATTAAACTGTTTGATACAAACTGGGTTTTGATAAAACTTGAATTGCTGGCTAAGGATTCTCCAAATGGACCCAGGGAGACTTCCTAAACTCTGCCTAGAAGAACAGATAAGTCTACAACAACTTAACCTCTTGGCATTCCAGCCCTCCTTCTACATATTGTTGTGGTTTTATTATTATTATTATACTGACACAAAAACACAGTATGTCAAGCAAACGAGATATATATGCTGGATTTCGTATCACAAAAACACTTCCCAAGGTTCTAGGACTATTTTTATAATAATAATAATAATAATAATAATAATAATAATAATAATAATAATAATAATAATATTTTAATATAATAATAACAATTATTATTATTTTAATAATGATTATTTTAATAATAATATTTATTATTATATTTATATTTATATTTATATTTATAGAAGTCAAATGACAAAAAGAGAAAAGTACAGTATATTCTGGCGTATAAGACTACTTTTTAACCCAAGAAAATCTTCTCAAAAGTCAGGGGTCGTCTTATACACGGGTGTAGTCTTATGCATGGGAGTCGTCTTAACTCTATATTTTAACTGGAAAAGTTGGGGGTCGTCTTATACGCCCAGTCGCCTTATATGCCGGAATATACGGTACTCAGACCGAGGCCTGCCTCCCTTCAATCTTCTTCAGACTCCATTGAAATTAATGCTATGATTAAATCACACCGCAATGTGTTTTCTCAGCCACTAGAGGGGGGCAGAGAGCAACCCTGGGAAAGAGAACCCCCAAAGGGACAGGGCGTTCATGAATACTGTATTTAAATAGTGTCAATGGGCCTATAGGACAGGGCAAACTTCAGCCCTCCAAGTGGTTTTGGCCTTCAACTCCTGCAATTCCTAACAGCCGGTATAGAATATGTCACCATTATGTTTAAAACCTCTGTCTTGTCTGGATTCAGTTTCAATTTGTTAGCTCTCATCCAGTCCGACACGGCAGCCAAGCACCGGTTCAAGGTCTGGACAGCCTCCTTGGTGACAGGTGGGAAGGAGTGACAGATTTGGACATCATCTGGATAGAGATAACACCGCATTCCGAAACTCCGGATGATCTCCCCCAGCAGCTTCATGTAGATATTAAACAACATCGGGGACAGAATTGAACCCTGTGGGACTCCACACAACAACAGTTGTGGGGCCGAACAGGTGTCACCCAGTAACGCCTTCTGAGACCATCCCTCAAGAAAGGACTGGAGCCACTGCAGAGCAGTACCCCCAAGTCCCACGTCCTCGAGGAGTCCCAGAAGGATACCGTGGTCAACGGTATCGAAGGCCGCTGAGAGGTCCAGCAGAACTAACAGGGACACACTCCCCCTGTCCAGCTCCCGGCAAAGATCATCTACCAAGGCGACCAAGGCTGTCTCAGTTCCATGTCCCGGCCTAAAACCAGACTGTGCCGGATCTAGGTAATCAGTGTCTACCAGAAATCCCTGGAGTTGTGTTGCCACCACACGTTCCATGACTTTGCCCAAGTAGGGGAAATTGGAAACTGGCCGATAGTTGACGAATTGAGTGGGGTCCAGTGATGGTTTTTTCAACAGCGGTTTTATAACAGCTTGTTTTAAGCTCGCTGGAATCTTGCCCTCCTGTAAGGAGGCATTAACCACCACCTTCACCCACTCTGCCAAACCCCCTCTGGCTTCTTTTATCAGCCAGGATGGGCAGGGGTCTAGGATGCATGTGGTAGGTCTCACTTCTCCAAGGATCCTGTCCACATTCTCAAGGTGAACCAATTGAAACGAATCCAATAAAACCGGACAAGCAGGTGCTCGTGTTACATCCTTAGAGACTGCTGTTAACATGACGTCGAATTCAGACTGAATCAGCGCAAGTTTATCCGCAAAGAATCGAGCAAATGCTTCACAGCAAGCCACCGAGTCATCAGGGATCTCGCACTTCGGCGGATTTAACAGTCCTCTGACGACTCGGAATAGTTCAGCCGGATGGTTCTTTGCAGATGCAATATTGGCAGCAAGAAATGATTTCTGTGCCGCCATTATTGCCACGTCATAGGACCTTAGAAAGGTATTCAGACGTGTTTGGGCTGATTTGGAAGGTTTCTGACGCCACACGCACTCTAGCCTCCTCTTCTTTCGCTTCATCGCTGCCAGCTCCTCAGTGAACCAAGGAGCAGGTTTAGCTCGGTTACTCGAACGGGGGCGCTTCGGAGCGATTGTATCAATTGCCCTAGTCATCTCACTGTCCCAGTGAGAGACCAGAGCATCGACAGAGTCACTTGCCAAGGAGGTGGGAAACTCCACAAGAGCCACCAAGAAGCCATTAGGATCCATAAGTCTCCTGGGATGGACCATTCTAATGGGTCCACCACCCCTGCGGAGGCTAAGAGGCACAGTGAGTCTAAACCTGATTAGGTGGTGATCGGTCCATGGCAATGGAGTGATGGTCAGCTCCTCCACCCTGCCACCTTCATCCCATTTATTTATTTATTATTTACTTTATTTGTATACTGCTCTTCTCAGCCCTTAGGCGACTCAGAGCGGTTCACGACAACAGTTTCAATATACACAGTACAAAATCATTAGACATTTAAAAGCATAACGATTAAACATCAAACATCAATACATCAATATAACAATCCATCACGTCTCATCAATAGAATCAGAATCCAGTCTCGATATTCATTATTCCATGTTCCAATAATCAATTATCAATTGCACTGCCTAGTTAAATGCCTGTTCGAACAGTCAGGTCTTCACTCTCCTCCAGAATGCCAGTAGGGAGGGGGCTGATCTAATATCCATAGGAAGGGCGTTCCACAGCCGAGGGGCCACCACTGAGAAGGCCCTGTCTCTCGTCCCCGCCAGGCGTGCTTGTGAAGCCAGCGGGATCGAGAGCAGGGCCTCCCCAGACGATCTTATTATCCTAACTGGTTCGTAGGAGGAGATGCGTTCAGACAGATAAGTCGGGCCAGAACCGTCCCTGACAAAAAACCAAATCCAATGTGTGTCCGGCACTGTGGGTGGGACCAGATACTAATTGGGACAGGGCCATGGTTGCCATGGCGGCCATGAAGTCCTGAGCCGCACCTGATAGGAAGGTCTCGGCATGTACATTGAAATCTCCAAGCACTAAGAGCCGTTGAGAATTCAAGGCCAGGTCCGAGATCACTCCTGCTAGCTCAGGTAGGGAGACTGTAGTGCAGCGGGGTGGTCGGTGCACTAACAGAATCCCTATCCTGTCCCGGTCACCTATCCTGATGCCAACACACTCAAAGGAAGATGACGGTGGGATGGGGCACCTGATCAGGGAGATAACATCCTTATAGACCACTGCAACTCCGACTTTCATGGCCAGAATCACTAGGTTGCTGTGTGTTTTCTGGGCTGTCTGGCCCTGTTCCCAAGCATTCTCTCCTGACGTTTTGCATACATCTAGGGCAGGCATCCTCAGAGGTTGGGAGGTCAGTCAAACTGGGTTGCTGTGAGTTTTTTAGGCTGCCTGACCCTGTTCGAGAAGCATTCTCTCCTGATGTTTCACCTGCATCTATCTGTGGCAGGCACCCTCAGAGGTTGCGAGGTCTGTCAGACTGGGTTGCTGTGAGTGTTCCGGTCTCTCTGACCATTTTCCAGAAGCATTCTCTCCTTATGTTTCACCTGCACCTGTGGCAGGCATCCTCAGAGGTTGGGAGGTCTGTCAAACTGGGTTGTTGTAAGATTTTTGGGCTATATAGCCATGTTCCAGAAGCATTCTCTCCTGACGTTTCTCCCACATCAATGGCAGGCAACCTCAGGGGTTGTGAGGTCTGTTGGAAGCTAGGCAAGTGGGGTTTATATATCTGTGGAATAATGTCCTGGGTGGGAGAAAGAACTCTTGTCTTGTTGGAGGCAGGTGTGAATGTTGCAACTGGCCACCTTGATTAGCATTTTTCCATGTTCCTGGAACAGTTTCTCCCATAGAGATGTTCAATGCGTTGTCAAAGGCTTTTGTGGCCAGAATCAATGGGTTGCTGTGAGTGTTCTGGGCTGTCTACCATGTTCCAGTAGTAGCATTCTCTCCTGACATTTCCCCACATCTCTGGCAGGTATCCTCAGAGGTTGTGAGGTCTGTTGGAAAACTAGGCAAGTGAGATGTGTTGTCGAAGGCTTTCATGTCTGGAATTACTGGGTTGCCGTGAATTTCCCAGGCTGCCTGGCCATGTTCTAGTAGTAGCATTCTCTCCTGACATTCTCGCCTGCATCTCTGGCAGGCATCCTCAGAGGTTGTGAGGTCTGTTGGAAAGTAGGCAAGTGAGATGTGTTGTCGAAGGCTTTCATGGCTGGAATCACTGGGTTGCTGTGAGTTTTCCGGGCTGCCTGGCCATGTTCCAGTAGTAGCATCCTCTCCCGACGTTTCTCCTGCATCTAGGGCAGACATCTCAGAGGTTATGAGGTCTATATCTTGTCGATGGCTTTCATGGCCGGAATCACTGGGTTTTTGTAGGTTTTGCGGGCTGTATGGCCATGTTCTAGAAGCATTCTCTCCTGACGTTTCTCCTGCACCTCTGGCAGGCATCCTCAGAGGTTGTGAGGTCTGTTGGGAACTAGGCAAGTGGGGTTTATATATCTGTGGAATGATGTCCAGGGTGGGAGAAAGAAAAAAAAACTCTTGTCTCTTGGAGTATTATCTTATAATTAATAATATTATAATTAATGATATTATCAGTGTGATTTGCATCCTGCCCTCTTCCTTCCTTCTATTATTGCTTAAATAAAACTGGGTTGCTGTGTGTTGTCGAAGGCTTTCATGGCTGGAATCACTGGGTTGCTGTGAGTTTTCTGGGCTGCCTGGCCATGTTCCGGTAGTAGCATTCTCTCCCGACGTTTCTCCTGCATCTAGGGCAGGCATCATCAGAGGTTATGAGGTCTATGTCTTGTCAAAGGCTTTCATGTCTGGAATTACTGGGTTGCCGTGAATTTCCCAGGCTGCCTGGCCATGTTCTAGTAGTAGCATTCTCTCCTGACATTCTCGCCTGCATCTCTGGCAGGCATCCTCAGAGGTTGTGAGGTCTGTTGGAAACTAGGCAAGTGAGATGTGTTGTCGAAGGCTTTCATGGCTGGAATCACTGGGTTGCTGTGAGTTTTCTGGGCTGCCTGGCCATGTTCCAGTAGTAGCATCCTCTCCCGACGTTTCTCCTGCATCTAGGGCAGACATCATCAGAGGTTATGAGGTCTATGTCTTGTCAAAGGCTTTCATGTCTGGAATTACTGGGTTGCCGTGAATTTCCCAGGCTGCCTGGCCATGTTCTAGTAGTAGCATTCTCTCCTGACATTCTCGCCTGCATCTCTGGCAGGCATCCTCAGAGGTTGTGAGGTCTGTTGGAAACTAGGCAAGTGAGATGTGTTGTCGAAGGCTCTCATAGCCAGAATCACTGGATTGGTGTGAGTTTTCTGGGCTGCATGGCCACATTCCAGAAGCATTCTCTCCTGACGTTTCACCGACATCTATGGCAGACATCCTCAGAGGTTGTGATGTTTGTGGGAAATTAGTCAAGTGAGGTTTACTGGGTTGCCGTGAATTTCCCAGGCTGCCTGGCCATGTTCTAGTAGTAGCATTCTCTCCTGACATTCTCGCCTGCATCTCTGGCAGGCATCCTCAGGGGTGATGAGGTCTGTTGGAAACTACGCAAGTGAGATGTCTTGTCAAAGGCTTTCATGTCTGGAATCACTGGGTTGCCGTGATTTTCCCAGGCTGCCTGGCCATGTTCTAGTAGTAGCATTCTCCCGACGTTTCTCCTGCATCTAGGGCAGACATCATCAGAGGTTATGAGGTCTATGTCTTGTCAAAGGCTTTCATGTCTGGAATTACTGGGTTGCCGTGAATTTCCCAGGCTGCCTGGCCATGTTCTAGTAGTAGCATTCTCTCCTGACATTCTCGCCTGCATCTCTGGCAGGCATCCTCAGGGGTGATGAGGTCTGTTGGAAACTAGGCAAGTGAGATGTCTTGTCAAAGGCTTTCATGGCTGGAATCACTGGGTTGCCGTGAGTTTTCCGGGCCGCCTGGCCCTGTTGAGAAGCATTCTCTCCTGAGATTTCTCCTGCATCTGTGGCAGATCTCCTCAGAGCTTGTGAGGTCTGTGCAAGTGGCGGGCGAGCCGGAGGGAGGAAGAGGGGAGAGTGAAGCTCTGGAGGGAGGGCGGGGATTGGCTGTGTGGCGCGGGGGCCGTCCAATCCGCGCTCGTTGCGCCTGGGAGGCCCCTCCCCCCTGGGTGGGCAGGCGCGGCGCCGGTGGGTCGGTGGGCAGAGCCGTCGGAAGAAGGGCTTCTCTGCGGCCATGCTTCTTCTGCTTCTGCTGGTGGTGGTGTCCTTCTTCTTCCCGCCGTGGGCGTGGGCTTCGCTGCCGTCCTTCCGTGGCCAGGTGTGGGAGAACCGCCCCGCGGGGACGCGCGTGTCGGGGCTGAGCGTGCCCTTGGCGCGGCTGTCGCGGGGCCCGTGGTGCGCGGAGGTGCGGGGGCGGCGCCGGTGGCGGCTGGAGCTGCTGGGCGAGGGTCGGGCGCACTTCCGGGCGGCGCTCCACGCGCGGAGCGGGCGCGTGTTCCTGCGCACGGCGCGCCCGCTGGACCGGGAGGCGGTGGGGGCGTACGGGCTGCGCCTGGCGCTGTGCTGCCGCCCGCCCTGCCCCGAGGCCCAGGAGGGGGCCGGGGCCGGGGCCGCCCCCGCCGCCGAGCTGGCCTCGCTCCGGATCGCCGTGCTGGACGCCAACGACCACGCGCCGCGCTTCCCCCGGGGCGCGCCCTCGGAGCTGCGCGTGGCCGAGACGCTGGCGCTGCGGGCCGAGGTGTGGCGCGCCCGGGCCGAGGACGCCGACGCCGGGCCCAACGCCGAGCTGCGCTACTTCGCCCGCCCGCCCTCCGCCCACTTCTTCGTGGTGCCCCGCAGCGGGAGGGTCGTCCTGGTCCGCTCCCTCCTCCGCCGCCGCGCCCCCATCCCGCTCCGACTCTTCGCCCGCGACCGGGGACGCCCCGCGCGACTCAGCGCCCCGCTCCAGCTCCGCGTCCTCCCGCAGCCCGTGCCCAGGCCCACCCCCAGGCCCACCCCGCCCCGCCGCCTCCCGAGGAGCCTCTCCTCCTCCTCCCCCCCGCCGCCGCCCCTGGCCTTCGCGCTGCCCGAGGACGCCCCGCCGGGGCTGCTGCTCGCCTCGCTCCGCCCGCGCTTCCCGCCCGGAGCCCGCTTCCAGCTGGTGGGGGGGACCCTGGGCTCGCCGCCGCCCCCCCTCCGCGTGGGCACCCACTCTGGGGAAGTCACCTTGGCCAGGGCCCTCGACCGAGAGGAACGCGCCTTCTGGGACCTCACCTGCCGCGTCCAGGACAAGCAGACAGGTACGGGCGCTTCGGAAGGCTCCCTACTAGGAGTCATTTCTTCATTTCTTGATTTCGGGTACTTTTACCCCGCCCTTCTCAACCCCCGAGGGGGGACTCAGGGCGGCTTACAAAAAAGGCACAATTCGATGCCTACATAGAGTACATGTACATATAAAACAGCAATTAACATTTATCACAATTAAACAATCAATATATAACACAATCACTAAAAACTAATCACGAGCTCAGCGTGCGCCTTTCAGAGTTCCATAATTCCATTCCATTTGTCTCGGTTCTTGTGGGTTTTTCCGGGCTATATGGCCATGTTCTAGAGGCATTTTCTCCTGACGTTTCGCCTGCATCTATGGCAAGCATCCTCAGAGGTAGTGAGGTCTGTTGGAACGAGGAAAAAGGGTTTATATATCTGTGGAATGACCAGGGTGGGACAAAGGACTCTTGTCTGCTGGAGCTAGGTGTGAATGTTTCAACTGACCCCCTTGATTAGCATATAATGGCCTGACACCCTGGTCATTCCACAGATATATAAACCCCCTTTTTCCCAGATCCAGCAGACCTCACCTCTGAGGATGCTTGCCATAGATGCAGGCGAAACGTCAGGAGAAATGCCTCTAGAACATGGCCATATAGCCTGGAAAAACCCACAAGAACTGAGTGATTCCAGCCATGAAAGCCTTCGACAATACATTCTTTAATTCCATTTGTCAATTCCAGTCCATCGCCACGTCCTTTTTCATCTGCCAGGTTGTCCAAATGCCTGGTCCCAAATCCATGTTTTCAGTATTTTTTCTGAAGGAAAGAAGGGATGTCGCCGATCTAATTTACCCCGGGAGTGAATTCCACAGGTGAGGGGCCACCACCGAGAAGGCCCTGCTCCTCGTCCCCGCCAACCTCACTTGTGATAGTGGCGGAGTCGAGAGCAGGGCCTTAGCCAGGATTTTGGTTTTGGGGGGGGGGGGGGGGGGGGATGAGTCTGAGTGAAAGAGGGTCTACCCTAGCAAACCTTTTGTATCATTACCCCAATAATACCCCCATGCATATGGGATATATTGAGTATGGTGATCAGATCATGATATGAATAAACATAACAGTTTAAATAATGCACCAGTAAGGCCTTTTCGCAAACCACCATGAGAATTTCGGGGGGGGGCTGAAGCCCCTCAAGCCCCCCCCCCCCGGCTACATGCCTGGGTCAAGAGAAAGGCCTCCCCAGAAGATCTTAGATTCTGAGGTGGGACATAAAGGGAGATGCGTTCGGACAGATACACTGGGCCGGAGCCATATAGGGTTTTGTAGGTCAAAACCAGCACTTTGAATTGTTCTCGGAATTGGATCAGCAGCCGGTGGAGCTGACACAACAGGGGGGTGGGATGCCCCCTGTATGCTGCTCCGGTGAGTAATCTGGCTGCCTCCCGCTGGCCTAGTTGGAGTTTCCGAACAGTCTTCAAAGGCAACCCCACGTAGAGTGCGTTGCAGTAATCTATCCGGGATGTAACAAGAGCGTGGACCACCATGGCCAGATCCTTACCTCCCCCCCCCTCACAAAACAGACCTCGGATGAGGGTTGAAGTGCTCTCAGGAATTGAGGGGAGGTTTGGAGGAGGAGGATGGACCACGGAGCAATGCTTCACCCGCACCCACTGAACCCACCCAACATTGGATGATTTGGATCTAAATTAAACTTGGAGCACAGACAGACCTCACTACCTCTGAGGATGCTTGCCATAGATGCAGGCGAAACGTCAGGAGGGAATGCCTCTAGAACATGGCCATACAGCCCGAAAAAACCTACAACAACCCAGTGGCTCCCTTTTAATGCTGTGAAGGACATCTAATCACCTCTCTACAAAAGTTTGCTCTAGGCACTGTCATGCCATTATATGCTAATCAAGGTGGTCAGTTGAAACATTCACACCTAGCTCCAGCAGACAAGAGTCCTTTGTCTCACCCTGGTCATTCCACAGATATATAAACCCCTTTTGCCTCGTTCCAACAGACCTCACTACCTCTGAGGATGCTTGCCATAGATGCAGGCGAAACGTCAGGAGAGAATGCCTCTAGAACATGGCCATACAGCCCGAAAAAACCTACAACAACCCAGTGATTCCGGCCATGAAAGCCTTCGACAATACAGACAAACAACGCCTTTCTCAAATAACCCAGGCAGCACCGGGTCCCCAAGCTAGTAATAATTATAGTTGTGGGAGTTGGGGTCCAAAGCACCATCCTCCTCCAAACTGTACCAGGATGTAGTAAGGGTCATGGTGGCTCTGGGCGCCAAGTTTGGTCTTGATCAGTCATTGGATGAGGGTTGCAGTGGTCTCAAGAAGTGACTGAAGGTACTGTAAGTCCCATAATCCACGGTTCCCCCTTGCCTAAACCACACTAGGATGTAAAGTGGGCCATGAGGGGTCTGTGTGCCAAGTTTGCTCCTGGTCTGTGATTTGTGGGGGCCACAGTGTTCTATGGGAAGTGAGATAGGTGCATGAAGGTACTGCAAATCCCATCATCCGTGATAAATCCTCCCCCAAACTGCACCAGGACATAAAGTAGGTCATGGGGGTTATGTCTGCCATTTTTGGTCCATGTCTGTTATTTGTGGGAATCTCAGCGGCCTGTGGAAGTGACAGGCAATCAGAAAGCTGCCACATACCCACAAACATACATACAAACACTAACTGTTATTATATACTAGCTTGGGGATGCAGCGCTGCCCGGGTGATTTGAGAAAGGCAGTGTTTGTGCTCCAAGTTTAGTCTAGAACCAATGTCATCTGGGTTCAGTGAGTGCAGGTGAAGGAGAGCTCCATGGCCCATCCTCTTCCAAACCGCACCAAAATGTCGAATGGGTCATGGGGCTTCAGGGTGCCCAATGAGGTCTTGATCAGTCATAGGTGTGGGTCACAATTGTCTTAGGAAGTGAGTGAAGCTACTGCAAGTCCCATCATTCATGATCCCTTGGCCCACAAACCCCACCCAGACATAGAGTGGGTCATGGGAGTTCTGTGTGCCAAGTGTGGTCTTTATTGGTCTTTGGATGGGGTTCACAGTGCTCTCAAGAAAGGAGTGAAGGTACTGCAAGTCCCATCATCCATGGTCCATTGGCCCCAAAACCCCATCCAGATGTACAGTGGGTCATCATGGGGGCTCTGTGCACCAAGTTTGCTCTTGATCAGTCATTGGTGTGGGTTGCAGTGGTCTCAGGAAGTGACTGAAAATACTACAAGTCCCATCATCCATGGTCTGCCCTCCTCCCAACTGCAGCAGAATGTAGAGTGGGTCATGAGGGCTCTGTGTGCCAAGTTTGGTCTTGATCAGTCATTGGTGTGGGTCACAGCAGTCTCAGGAAATGAGTGGAGGTACTTCAAGGCCCATCATCCGCGGTCCGCCCTCCTCCAAACTGCAGTAGGATGTAGAGCGGGTCATGTGGGCTCTGTGTGCCAAGTTTGGTCTTGATCAGTCATTGGATGAGGGTCACAGTGGTCTCGGGAAGTGAGTGGAAGTACTGCAAGTCCCATGATCCATCCTCCAAACTGCACCAGGATGTAGAGTGGGTCATGGGGGCTCTGTGTGCCAAGTTTGGTCTTGATCAGTCATTGGCGAGGGTCTCAGGAAGTGAGTGAAGTGACTGCAAGTCCCATCATCCATGGTCCATCCTCATCGAAACTGCACCAGGATGTAGAGTGGGCCATGGGGGCTTTGTGTGCCAAGTTTGGTCTTGATCAATCATTGGTGAGGGTCTCAGTGGTCTCGGGAAGTGAGTGGAAGTTCTTCAAGTCCCATCATCCATGGTCCATCCTCATCGAAACTGCACCAGGATGTAGAGTGGGTCATGGGGGCTTTGTGTGCCAAGTTTGGTCTTGATCAATCATTGGTGAGGGTCTCAGTGGTCTCGGGAAGTGAGTGGAAGTTCTTCAAGTCCCATCATCCATGGTCCATCCTCATCGAAACTGCACCAGGATGTAGAGTGGGTCATGGGGGCTTTGTGTGCCAAGTTTGGTCTTGATCAATCATTGGTGAGGGTCTCAGTGGTCTCGGGAAGTGAGTGGAAGTTCTTCAAGTCCCATCATCCATGGTCCATCCTCATCGAAACTGCACCAGGATGTAGAGTGGGCCATGGGGGCTTTGTGTGCCAAGTTTGGTCTTGATCAATCATTGGTGAGGGTCTCAGTGGTCTCGGGAAGTGAGTGGAAGTTCTTCAAGTCCCATCATCCATGGTCCATCCTCATCGAAACTGCACCAGGATGTAGAGTGGGCCATGGGGGCTTTGTGTGCCAAGTTTGGTCTTGATCAATCATTGGTGAGGGCCTCAGTGGTCTCGGGAAGTGAGTGGAAGTTCTTCAAGTCCCATCATCCATGGTCCATCCTCATCGAAACTGCACCAGGATGTAGAGTGGGCCATGGGGGCTTTGTGTGCCAAGTTTGGTCTTGATCAATCATTGGTGAGGGTCTCAGTGGTCTCGGGAAGTGAGTGGAAGTTCTTCAAGTCCCATCATCCATGGTCCATCCTCATCGAAACTGCACCAGGATGTAGAGTGGGCCATGGGGGCTTTGTGTGCCAAGTTTGGTCTTGATCAATCATTGGTGAGGGTCTCAGTGGTCTCGGGAAGTGAGTGGAAGTTCTTCAAGTCCCATCATCCATGGTCCATCCTCATCGAAACTGCACCAGGATGTAGAGTGGGTCATGGGGACTCTGTGTGCCAAGTTTGATCTTTATCAGTCCTTGGATGAGGGTCACAGCAGTCGCGGGAAGCGAGGGAAGGTACTGCAAGTCGAATCTATATGATAACAATTATAGTTATAGCTATAGGAGCCTCTGGTGACGCAGGGGCGCCTATAGCTATAACTATAATTGTCCACATGTTATTGATATTATTATTATTCAGGATGGGTCAAATGTCACAGAGGGATCAGATGTTTCCATAACCTTTTGAAGCTTTTTGGGGTAAAGATTTTATATCTCCTGTGAATATGTTTCCTACTAGCTGTACCCACCACGCG